CGCAGCTCACGGGGACACTCAAGGGCAACGTAACTTTCCGCAGTGTGAGGGCAACGGTTTGTAGGTACTTATGCAAACCTATCCCTGTCTCTGAGCACGGACGGTATGGTTATCTTGAGTGTGGGGGGTTCTTCCCGGAACCTCAATTGAGTCAAGGGTGTCGCCACCTCTGGTGGATAGGTTCATCCGGGTGGGTCCCACTTCTATACCTGCCTCCTTTTGGGAAACCCTGATGGCCTGGCAGTGACGTTGGGTCTGACGGGCAAACGAAGTAGATCGGGTGCTGGGTCCGAGCCCGCCAGGGGTATCTGGGGATCTATCGCTCTGGATATCTCTGGTTCCCAGCAATGGGTCAGGCCTCGATCGGGCAGCGGTGTAAATGGGAGGTTGGGGTTCCCCCCGTCAGCGTGCTGATGGTCCCCTTCCTCCTGGCTATTGATGGCGGGTTCTGCCTGTCAGGGATGAGATAGGTCCCGAGTGTTGCTTGCACTAAATGCGTCGGGGCGCTCTACTATGGACCTCTAGGTTCCGACCTAGTGGAACCCAGGTGGAGTGACGCTTAAACAAGCAGCCGGAATCCCTGGTTAGGATTGAGGGGCAACCCTCTTTCCGAAGGGTCTGCTTCGGCAGCCGGCGAGCCTGATGACCTTAAGTCATCCGCCCATGATGTGCTAAAGGTTGATGCGTAAGCTTCGGCCTACATCATGGGGCCCGGGTATGTCCTGTAGGATAGGTACCGGGTAAGCAGTCAGGGGGCTTCGGCTCTCATGACAACAAATCTAAATCTAAAATCTAAAAAAAATCTACCCTCAGCCTGTGTCCTAGCCCTTGTCTATTGTCCCACCGCATGTTTCACTTTCACTGGTTTGCTACCTTCGCTCACCCACCCTTTGCGTCTCAGCGATTACGTGCCGGAGCAGGTCTCAGTTCGTCACCGCACAATATGCTCATTTTCCACACAAAAAATGTTTTGGAGATACAAATAGCACTTTCAGTAAGACATTTTGATTTATACACTTATCAAAATACATGATAATGTATTCAATTATAAATAATATACTAGTGCTACTGGGCTAAATAATGTAACTACTTGGCCTATCCCATACATTTTATTGAATTTCCCTGTAATGAGGTAGCTATTACCGTAAGTGGCATGGTAAGACCTACGCCCGGAACCGATTTACTTTTTCATTTTGATGTCCCCAGAGGCCAAAAACACCATTCGTTCAAATTTGTATATATATGTGTGTCCGTGAACACGATAACTTGAGTAATTTTTGTCCGATTTTGATGAAATTTTGTTTGAAGGTGTGAGGCGGGATAAACTTGAATGAGTTCGCGAACCAGCATGATCGGACCATGGGAACGGGGTTTTATCGGGTAAAAATTGTTTTTTCTAAATTTTTGACCCTCTAACTAAACACAAAATTTCCCAATTTCTCGTGTTGAACGTTAAAAAAATGTATAATACATTAAAATAGCATAAATAAACCCTTTAAAGTATATGCTCAAACCTATATAAAAAACTACAAATATTGTCCCTAATTAAACTACATTAAAATACCTATGAAAAATACTGAACATGGTTTACAAAAGACTGAATATACGAATGCTTCGCAATATAATGTCACCTGATCGTCTTAGTCCATATTTTATATCTAATGATAGAAGGAATTTCTTTTAGATCTATGAGGCATAGCCCTACGTAGGCCTGTAATTGAAATTCACCTTTCACACTGGTTTAAAATAGTTACATACTACATCAACCTCACTACTGCACACTTTATTCAGGTTGAAATTTTCATTTACAAAGGTGCTCTTGTCTTTTCCACGAAACACTGAGAATTAAGGACATTAATGCGTTATCAACAGACATACTCACAAAAATACAGAATTGAATTAGGGGATATTTATTTAAAAGTTGTTATAGTGTCATCAAGTTTTATGATAATCGTATTTAGGCCTAATCCTAATCAAACTGTAAAATTGGTGTACATCCGTTGGCAAATATATAAATAAGTAAATAAATACACAGTCCACAAAACATTGATACGTTGACAACGTAACGATTTAAAAATTCATTATGGTTTGTCCAAAAAATCTTTCACTTGATGTGGTATCTTGGTATCAGTATCGAAGTAAAATTAAAATTCATGATGTAGCCCCTGAACTGTTTAATTAGACTAATATGAGGTACGCACCTTTACGTACGTCAATAGTTCAATTGTAGTAAGTAGAACTCACAACATGTTTCACCTATTCAAACAGTATCGAAGTTATTAATCTACCTTGGTTTTGGATTTTTTTTTCGAAAATCAAAGTTATTTCCCATTAATAGCATTATTTGTAAGCAGCTTTTAATGTTAACATATTAATGACAGTTTGAAGAAAAAACCCTTATCCAAACAAAGGGTTCTTATTTGAAAGATTACGTAATCTCTAAACGATGATCGGTATATTCCCAGCACTGAGCACTATACAACACTGATTCACGGCCTTTTCCCCGGTTATCAAAACTCAAGAACAATCGTTGTACTTGCGATTAATTAAACCGGCTAAGTAAGGCACAACGTTTTTAATCCCACTTGGTTTGGATGTGCTTACAAAACTTGATCGGAAATGGTTGCGGTATTTGTAAACAGTATTTAATGTAAACATATCATATGTGACAGCTAGAAGTGAGAACTAATCCAAATAGCTGATCGTTATTTCATAAAATTTAATAGTAAACATTGGAAGAAAATTTGACAAAAATCGAACAAAATTGGGTTTTTGATGGTTTGTTATTTTGTTTTCAAAGAAGCGGGGCCATGTTTTTATAGCCAAAGAAACTCACTAATCCAGTAAATACAGAAAATGATTTGAACCTTGATCGGTATTCTAGTTTTCTAGGAGTAGGCCGCGTAAAATGACATTTTGGCGTCACTGACAGAATGAAAGAATGGACAGACAGACAGAAATTGAGATAAGACTCGTTTCGGCTTTCTTAGGCTATGAAACCTAATGTAACCAGAAACTGCATGATTCTAAGCAATGTAGGCCTACAGACAAAACTGTATTTTATTTATATAGATATATGGAACGATTTAAATAAAAAAAATATAAAAAATAAAAACAGTAGGTCCTATGTGTCGTATTTTTACGTTTCAAAGCCATTTGAAGTTGCAATCTTGCTCTTGATGTTTTTTTCTAGATTTTGCCTTATCCTGTGCCTCTAATATATAAAAAGGATTTCGGATGGGCACTTGGGGTTTTATCTTAGCTCGAATATTATAGACCTAAAACGGGACATCGCAATTCCAAGATAATCCGTGAGTCAGAAGCCGGCTTGGCTACGTCGCAGTGCTGGTCCGGAGGGTGGATTTGGTTCCTGGAAAACCTTAATCGTATATACCACGTATGTCAGAAAATGCTTTTGTTCCACTGGACCTTGTTTTCTTACTGACAAATAGTTTGTATCAAATCGTGTAAATTGCAGCAGCTATCTTTATACAGCTAAGTCCTTAATCAACGTACTAAGTATGACCAAAAGAGACGTTTATTCTAACGGAACTTGTTTTATATTGATGAATGGTTTGTATCAAACCGGGTGTTGTAAAACTACTTTTATCTCTGATGACAGTAATATTTTAATACATACCTACGGTAAATACACAGTCCGAAAATATTAGATTCTTAGATTCCTGTGAATTCAATATCATCATTTCCTTGGCATTATAATACATCAGGGATGTAACCACATAACGTTATTTATTTATTTAAACAGATCTGTGGCCAGTTTAAATGCATTTTATTTGGCGCGGTTTGAAAACGTGCTCTGTAATCCACAATCGACTGTGCTGCCATCGGCCGGGACATCGTCGAACTAGTACTCAGTCGGCAAGCAAGGCTTTTTTGCAAGCGTTTACAAAAAAATACAAAACTTAATGTTAACCATCGAAAAATAAATATCTGTCACACTCAATACACTAATGAATATATGCTCTTCAATATGGCGTTTGAACCAGAATTATTCATAGTGCCAGTCATTTTATATTTTAGCAGAAAGTATTGCAATTCCTTATGGGAAATGTAAGAAATGATTTATTTTATATCCGGCTTATAATTAAACATTATGATTTTTATATTGTACAGTCTTAATCCTACATACATTTACAATGTTTTGAGTGTGGGAAATATTTTTTGGAACACGGATAGACCAGAAAACGAGGAATTATTATATGCGCTCCATGTTAAAGTGACGGCCAGTGTCGGCAGCCGAGAATCTCTGTCCGACCGCCTCTTAATCTGTTCAATTGATAATTTTAATCTTAGCAATTATGTAGATTTTGGGGAGTTTACCGGGCTTCCACCTATAATTATATAATGTTTCGCAAAAGTTTTTTATCTACTTATATACAAGACAAAATATAAGACAAAGCGGGAAACGGAGCTAGTGCCGTTCTATTCTTTGCTGTGGGGCCGTGGGGATTATAAACTGACAAAACCGTCAGATAGGCCCGAGTGCCGTTTGACTCCCCAGAGCGTAAGAATGATTCAGGAAAAGGATATCAAGTTGAAGGGGTGGTTGAAGGGGTTGGTGTAGTGGGCAGGATGTAATGAAGACCGGGTACAGTTTCTTGAACCGGCTACCCTAATATCGATTGAAAATTAATATCGATTCGATAAGTATCTTTATTATTATTTTTTTTTAATCATCAGGTTAGGTTAGGTTATAACAGTTTCATTATCCCTAAAAAAATTTGCTCTTCATCCCTGGCCGATGTTTCCACCCCCATACTGCACCGTGGAACTGGTTACATATGCCACGATTAGAATTGAACCTGACCGGCACTCGCCCCGTCAAGCCTCTGGCTGTAAAATGGCCCAGACAAAGCATATAAAGGTAAATTTGAAATTGGTTTCATTTACCTCCACTCATCGCGCTTTGTCCTGTAGGCTGTAGACCACGGTTCATTTTAGCTTAAACTATAACACTAAAGAGGTTTGTTATATTTCAGGAGGAACATGCAAAGCCAGGTGGAATAACATTAGAGACACCTACAGGAAATCCTTGAAAAGAACTGCAGCGAAAAGTGGAAAAGGAGCAAAGAAGATTAAACTGTACAAGTATTCCAACCAACTAAGCTTCCTGCAAAAGTATTTGGATGAAACTTTTAGTAATATTGAAAACCAAACTGGTGATACACTGGAGGAGGAGCTAGATGAGTTTTACGCAGGCAATATTTGTGATGTCTACACCGAAGAGAATTTGGAGAATGAAACTATCAAGGAACGAGTTCAAAAACCTACCACCCAGATCAACAAAAATACTATTTCAAAATTTAGATTCCCGTCAAGCCCTTGTGTGAAGGCCGTGAAGAAAATCACGAAAACCAACACAAATGAAGAAAATGTGTCTTTAAAATTGATGGACTTTCTTACCAAATATAAACAAAATCCAAAGCCGGCGGAGCATCCAGTCGACGCCTTCTTAAGTGCAATGGCACCATCACTGAAAACTTTCTCACAGTATAATTGGCATCTGGCCAAATCAGAAATATTTAGCGTAGTTCAAAAATACGAACTTAAAACAATTACAGGACAGCTACAACCTGATGACATTTCCAGCAGTCCAACCAATCCCCGAAGCTCTGCAACCCCCCCACTCTCTTCATCAGTGCCACCACATTCTACTTGAACATTTCTATGGCCGTTCATAGTTAAATAGTTCTTTTTGAATTGCCTGTACCATCTTAAAGAAAATCGTCATTAAAGTTGTTTGTGAGATAAGCATGTTTGTTTCTCTTTTGTTTGAAACGCCTAAATTAGCAGCAACCATTTTTGAACACGGTAATGTGCATGCCACATTCAATAGTGACCCCTCCCGTTTAGCGTTGTATTAGTAGCTTACAACGCTGCATACTAGTACGAATTAAGATGTATTAATTCCTTTGAGATATGAATAATTATAAGGTTAACATGTGAAACTCCAGACACAGAGCCACAGGGGCGGAGCACGAAGGTCAGATCAGAATGAAACTAAGCATACTAAGCATACCAACGAAGCATACTATTAGCTATGCTTCATATGCATATTTTAATATAATGTTTTTTTTAATTTTTGATCCTGAATGGTTAACGTTATAAATTTTTGTAACTCAAAATTTAAATGATTCATTACCGTTAAGGGGTAAGACCGATGGGAGCAAACTCTATAACCTCGTCCCTACAAATCACGTTTGGCCCTCCCCGCTCTTGTTTAAAATCTTAGTTTCAGGACCCATTTTATAGTGATGTGAATTGCAAGTAATATAAAGTTGTTTAAATATGCTACAGTAAATCAATCACTAATGTTAAAAGTATAATTTAATTTCATCTAAACATGATAAAAGTTAAAGCCCTCACTCACTGACTGACTGATTCATCACTAATTCTCCAACTTCCAGACAAGCTAGGAGGCTGAAATTTGGTTTTCTGATTGTTTAGTTAGCAATAAATAGGACAACTAAATAGTCTGATCTGACTTTCGTGTTCCGCCCCTGCGGCTCTGGAGTTTCCCACGTTATAACCTTATGAGTATTCACATCTAAAAGGAAATAATAAATCTTAAAGATTTTTCAATTAAACAAGTTGGTTCTATGATTATTACAATCATTATACAGTTAAGCCTACAAGGTTAACCAACAGGTGGCAGAGCTATTAATTTTTTGTTTGAATTTATGACAACAGCTATTTAAACCGATAAGGTCTGTCAAAGTAAGATTGTTTACAGTCATGTTTATGTTTTTAATTTAGTAATAGCTATTTACATTACAAGTGTAGTAAGAGCGTTTTTACATCACGCAGGTGAAAGTTGTGCAACGAGCGAAGCGAGTTGCATAATTTACCTAAGTGATGTAAACACGCTCTTGCGTAACGTGTAACGTACAAGATTTTACCTGACCCGACAATATACAGGAGGTTACGAACAATATTTTTCATTACCCATTTCACTCATCTTATAACAGTAAGGTTCATTTACAAACAAAAGCTAGGTTAGGAAAATTCTTCAAAACATAACAATAAAATTCAAACTTAAAAAATATAACTCTATGGAGCCAACGACGTTTAACGCTAGAAATCAGCTGTGTGCTTGAATTTTATTGTTATTGTTATGTTTTGGAGAATTTTCCTAACCTAGCTTTTGTTTGTAAATGAACCTTACTGTTATAAGATGAGTGAAATGGGTAATGAAAAATATTGTTCGTAACCTCCTGTATATTGTCGGGTCAGGTAAAATCTTGTACGTTACACGTTACGCAAGAGCGTGTTTACATCAGGTAAATTATGCAACTCGCTTCGCTCGTTGCACAACTTTCACCTGCGTGATGTAAAAACGCTCTTACTACACTTGTAATGTAAATAGCTATTAATATTGTGCAAATAGGGCGATTTTATCTTTAGGAGCATAATTCATCAACTTATTGACTTTTCAAAACGTGTTTAAAAAGGTATTGTTATTGTTTTCTCCAAAAAATAATGTCTAAGAAACGGAGTAGCGTGTTAATAATTTTAGTGCATTACTGTCCAAGTAAATGACTTGGAGGGAAGGAACTAATACTGTATTATATATATAGATATATATGATTGTTTGGAGTACAACAATAACGTGAAAACTACTTGACTAATTGAGCTGATTTTCCCCATGAATAGAGCCATTATACAGGCTTAAAGGAAATAGTCATCTTTTATTTTAACACTCTAGTAGGGCTTTGCCCTGGCAGCATGCAACGTTTAAATTTCATTCCCATGATTACTCTTAATATTAGAATTGCCAAGATGATGTTAACCACGTATTGGAGATATTTTTTTTGCCTGTTGGTAAAATTGTCGAAATTTATTTTACCAACAAAAAGGAGATATAGCAGATATAGGCTAGTATTTTGGTGAAAACCCTTATGTAGGTTGTTCCAGAGGAAGTAATTTGAAGCTCCTGGTAAAAATACAGTTAGACAGAGGATAATGCAAAAGGCAATTTTAGCCATCAGTGGGTTCATAGTAGTAGTAAAACACAAAATTATATCGGGTGAAGCCGGCGGGTAACAGCTAGTTATTATTTTTTGTTTCTAATGTATTTGAACCTTATATTTGATCATAACCTGTATAGTTTTAATTTCAAAACGCAACACTTAAACTCAACAACTAACATTTAGTACAGTAGTGTGTTTTCAATATTATCTTACCGTTCAACTACAATCAAGAAAATATTGATTAAATCGGATCTCAGCCCAAACATTGATAACACTAATTGGTGATGGTTACGACAGTATAATTGTACACATCCCATGTCTGGCTCATATGATATAGAAACAATATGATGCGTATCCTCTCTCTCCTCACACATTCTGTTCTATGTGAGTACTAGCATTGACTATATATACCTACTGTAGGTATATATAGTCAATGGTACTAGCTATTGCCCGTCGGCTTCGCCCGACATATTTTCAGTTTTATTATGAACCGGCTGAGGTTGTGTCTTCATTACGGGCTAACATATATTTCAAATATATTTATTCATGGTAATACAAAAAGTTAAGTTTAAAAATATTGACAACGAGGTCCAATTGATACACAAAAAGTAACGAAAAAATTTAATTTTTTTCTTTCTCTTTTCTACACAAATGTTTCTAGCACTATTATTCCATGGCGGCTTGTGGCATGTACTCGTCTATACAGAATAATTGGCAGCAGAAATACAAAATGTAGTTTGATGAAATTTGGTTTAAATGTGTCAGGCGGGATGAATTTGAATGAGTTCGCGAACCACCATGATCGTACCATGCGAACCCCTTTTACTGGGGGTTTTATAGGGTAAAAAATGGGGTTTCTCACTTTTGACCCTCAAAACACAAAATTTCCCAATTTCTCTCTAGACCTTTTTAAAGAGCTTAAAAGAACAAATAGTATATCAAAGTGTTTTTGTACGGTTATTGGTAACGAAGAAAAATTTATAAATTTCAAAATCCCATGTTATTTTTATGGAGAATAATGTAAAATGCTGTAGTTTGCTTGTTTATGGATATATTTTGACCAAACTTGGCAAATCATTTTATTTTATACTAAGATATTATTATTTTACCAAAAACACACTTTATAAGTTTCCTTGTAGCAGCAAACCTAGGTACCCATCAAACCTAATGTTATTTAAATAGATTTGATTAAAAATCAATCCAGACAAATGGAAATTCCCTTAGTCGGCAGGTTTTGCTGTGGGGGTATTTTTATCAAAATATGTTGGAAATCAGGTGAGTACGCATGTTTGCTTTAATTTCACACTGTATTAATTTTTTAACGAAAACTACCACTATTTCACTTTAGGTTGGCTAGTGGTAACAGCAAGAACTAAATACCCCCGCCGCAGCAAACCTGCAGACTAAGCGAATTTCCATTTACCCGGCTTGATTTCTACTAAAATATTCCCAAAAAATTTTCCCATTTATTTCCTATTTAAATAACATTATTTTTTGTGAGTACTTAGGTCTGCTGCTACGGGGAAGATATTGAGGTGAGTTTTTTTATTGAAATGTTAATAGCTTGTATGAAATAAACAAAATTTCCAAATTTTATTAAAATACACGCATAAACAAGCATACTACAACAGTTGATTTATTCCCCAAAAGAATAACATGGGAATTTTTAAATTTACAATTTTTTTAAAATTATCTCTGTAACCGTTGGGCACATAACAACACTTTAATGTACAAAATTATTTCTTTTTTAAGCTCTAAAAACTGTTTGGAGAGAAATTATAAAATATTGTGTTTTTAGGGTCAAAAATGGGAAAAAATCTATTTTACCGCAAAAAACCCCGTTCCCATAGTCTGATTATGCTGGTTCACAAACTGGTTCAAATAAACGTAGATTTACATGTTTGTGCAAATTTTCATCAAAATAATTATTATATAATGTTTGCTTGAGTTATCATGCTAATTTAAACGGATGGTTTTTTTTGCCTCTGGGGACCTCAAAACGAAAAGGTAAATCGGTCCCGGGTCTAGGTCTTTCCATGACACATACGGTAATAGCTTATTCCCTATATGGGAAATTCCCTAAAAAGGCTGAGAATAGGAAATGTGCAACGTTTTTATGAAGTTACTTGGTCCAGCTGATGCTTTGAATTACAAAAAATAGGCTTAAATAATTATATAATATGCTTTGCAACAAGAGTAAAATAATAGTGCTGCAATTTTTTGGTAAACCGTGTAACCTTTAATGCTGTTGAACATCATAGAACCCAATTTGTAGGTTTATTTGAATAGCTTTCAAAATCGTTCCTTCATTCTTTTTAAATATTCTTTCAATATCCCTGACATGGGTACCTTTAAGATGGTCCCTAGGCTAAGCCCTGAGAGAGTTGTCACAAAATTGATGGTGTATAATGTATAAGCATATTTAATGAAATTCTACATGTATGTACAGTACCAAGTTTCGTGGCCATCGGCCCAGCTTAGTTTATCACTGCCAAATATATATACAAACCAATCCTCTTTTATGTATTTATCCTCTTTTAGATGATGCTACATTGCAGGTCTACTGATATAATGTACTGTAATATTTTCTTTTACCATGATTGATTGGTGGTAAGGAGGTAAAGATTCTGGTATAGGGTTATGTACATTAAAAAATGAAACATGAAATAAAAAGTATAAATCATTTTCGGACAGATTGCGAGCGAAACCCGTTTGATAGGTACTGTATTGTACTTCAAAACTATAGTTAAATCT